GTCACACAACCCAGCCTCTGAACCCATCCCGTCGGGGGCTCTCAGCCTGCACCCAGAGCCACACAAACACTGAAGTTCAAATCTTAGGTTTCAGTCATTTACTAAGCCCTAGTCTTAAGGAAATAACTTAATCATATCCAGCTGAACAGCTACAGAACTTTGGGATTCAAAGCAAATCTGTCCAGCTTAAGGACCAAAACACTTTCCTATCTTACAATGCACTTCCAAGTTCATACACATAATATACCCTCAGTAATGAATAATTAATGACTTCCCAGATGCAAGCCGAGCTTGTTTTTAAATTCTCATAGTCAAATAAGTTGGGAAGAATGTTACAAGAAGATTAGTGAGGGAAAAAAACGGCATGTCATTTATTATCAGTCCAGAATGTTCAGAATTGTCATTTATAAGAAATAAGCTCATTATTAATAGAAGATTAGCTTGCTTGTCTTTATGTGACTATTTTCTTAAATTAAAAATTAACTTTTTTTCTTGATTGCAAAGGCAATGTGTGTTCATCTAATACAAATTGGAAAATAAAGATAAGCAAATAATACAAAATTAAACACACCCACATCCCCTACCACCTAGATATAACGGTAGTAAGGACTTTGGTGTGTATCCTTCTACACTTTCTGGGCCTTTATACAGGGTACTTTTAATTACAGCATTTTTTTTTTCCCCACTTTATACCTGCTGAACAGCATTCCATGTCAATACATTTGCCTTTTTATGTTTACTTATCAAGATAAATAATTTTGTATGATTTAAACCACAGTTGTTTATTCAGAAGTCAGAAACGGACAGCTAACGAAACATCTGAAGTAACCAGGTGTGACTGTGAGGTCCAGTAATTCAAAACAAAGTACAAAACATAAAAACAATTACAACCAGTGTGACAGTTTTGTGTGTTTCCGTCAGCTCTGCTACCTACGGTCTACCGCTGACTTCAAAGAAAAGTCCACACAGAGGAGGTCCGGAGGATAGGGCACAAAACGAGAATCAACCCACGATAAGAGATTAAAGGAAGGTTCATCAAAGACCTAACTTTAAAGTGCTAGCCTGTGACTTGCTTTGGCTCATGGCCCCAAAATATTCATCAGAACAGAACTCCCTTTGAAGTGATTAGAAGCCCAGTGCTCAGAGAGATCTATGGCAAAGTTGCCTCTTCCCAACTCTGTATGTCTCTGATGCTGTTTCTTTGGGGCAATGCAGATGCAAGGATCAGGTGTCAAAGCTGGCCTGAGAGGGAAAGGGAATTATCCTCCCTAATGCAAGGTTTGTAAAGTTCACCTGCAGCCACATCACCATACTCATGAGTCACGTGCAATATCATGACTTAGTACTCATGAGCATAGACCCCAACCAGCACCCATCCTCCTTATTCAGCGTATTTAGCAGAGTGTGTGGTATTTCCAGATAGGCTGTACGATTTGATCATTACTCATTCTACTTGTTCACTACTTGTTCTCTGATCTCCTCAGTTAATTTATGGAGTTCTCTGTTACTTAGCCTAAGCCATCCATTCATTTCCCCAGAGAGGGACAGTGGATGTACCGTTCAGATGCCAGTAGCCTTTATAACATCCACTTTTTTGTCCTTTTGAGACAGGGTCTTCCTGTAGCCCTAGCTGGCCTGGAACTCGCTATGTAGACCAGGCTGGCCATGATCTCACAGAGATCTGCCTGCCTCTGTTTCCCAAGTGCTGAGATTAAAGGTGTGTGTCACCATACCTGGCTTACATTCTCAACTTTTGAAAAAGAAAAGCTTTGTAAAATTGCAAAGTACAATCCCAGAAGGTCTCAGCATATCCTATAGACTCCAACTCGTGAGGGATTCACTTTACGTGGCAATCTTATTTGGGGTGTTCACTTTCACTCTCTCTTGTCATCATGTCTTCATTACCTTCAAAGTTCAAGGGAATTCTTTTCCTCTCAACCACGTTTAGGATTGCTAATCTTTTCCTGGTGTACCTAGGTTAGAATTTTTCCTGGCAAGTCTTGCGTGAGCACAGTATTGGACTCCGTGAGATGACTAGGGACTGTCTCTTACCTTCATGGAGCTGCAGTCTAGGTGAGGAGAAAATGAATTTGCATTCAATAACTGTTACAAACTGACCTGGGCATAGTGAGGACAGTTTTTATGAAGATAGAGGACTTCAGCTGGCTTTTGAAAAGTGCCTAGAATTTCAAAAGGTGAAAAAATACCGAAATACATAGTAGTTGTAGGGATGATGACTAGGACAACCTGGTCAAAGTTTTAGAAGCAGAAAATTGAGTTCTTTCACAGCAGAAACTGATTGTGCTCATTTAATTTGTGGAGATGGCTCACGTTAGAAAATAGGAGAAGCTTCGTAGCCATATCCAGTTTAGAATATACTATGGAATCTGGATTTTCTTAATGAATATAAAGAACTGTATTTTAACGTTGGGTGGAAAAGAGAATCCTGAAACGTTTCAAGATCATTAATCTGTTTGCAGAGTGCAGGGTGGGGCGGGGTGGGCATTGCTTGGGGCCACAGCCTGGGAGAAAGGACTCAACCTGAAATGGAATAGAATGTAGCATGGGAATGGGCCAGATGGAGTGGGATTTGGAAGGAATGAAACTGGAGCTGAGCTGACCTGTGGGAGGAGGGTGATGTGTAGGAGGAGGGGTTAGAAGACCCTGGGAATTCAGTTCTACACAGACATAATTGCACCTCTATTACTAGGTACTAGGTGATGGACATACAAAGATTAATAACATAAGCAGGATGGAGAGGCAGGCAGAGTAGGTGTCCATGGTGAAAACCCAGAGTAGATTCATCCAAGGACTAAAAAGGAATGAAGCAAAGAACTCAAAGTTCAGAGAAAGAAACTGCCCTTTTAGATGGAGTCACAAAGCTTCAGGGATGAGGTGGGACATGTGTAAAATCTTGAATGATACATAGACCATGGAAAATAGAGAGAAGATTAAAGATGTGGGAGACAGAGGACAGAAGCAAAGATCCATATAGCTCAAAGGCTGGGGGCTGGGAAAACACAAGAGTGTTCTGGCACATTGAATAGGCTTGTGTTCTGGGAACAGAGGTAAATAAAAAGCAGACAGGAAAATGGGAAGAGGGAGGCCTGGGGCCCATTTCGTCAAAGCTTCAAGAACAAGTTAAAGTTTGTCATTTAACCTGGGAAATGACAAGCCCTGGGCATTTTTGAGCCTTTGGGATTTAATTTGAAAATTGAGTAGAATATATAAACAGGAGAGGAAAAGTGGGCTATCTTAACATAAAATAAAGATATAAGTAAGTTGACACTGATCATGGACACAGAGATACAGAATAAAGAATTATCAGTAAGCCAAAGGGAAGGAAGAACTATGGTTTTACCCAAAATTCTGCATACCAGAGCATGAAAATTGAGAGGCAACCGATTTGGGGGTAACCTCAAACTGGGCTTGAGGGGCTGGAGAGATGGCTCAGTGGTTACAAGCACTGACTGCTCTTGCAGAGGACCCAGGTTTGATTCCCAGCCCCAACATGGTGGCTACGTTTTTCAGCTCCAAGAGAATCCAAAGTCCTCTTCTGACCTCTGTGCAATTGCATGACATGGGTGCACTTACCTACATGCAGGTAATACATACATACACATAAAATAAAAATTAAAAGAAAAAAAAAAACCAGAACTGGGCTTGAGACGAGCAAGCACATTCAAAAGGTGGTTACAACTGGGGCTTGAAGAACAGCTGCAAAACAGACTTACCTTAGCAAGTTGAAAAGATCCATATAGCTCAGCAATTGTTTGAAGTTTTAATTAATTGGTTCAGAAAGTGAAGTACTTTCCAAAGCTCATTTGAAAGCATGTACTCTCCTGATATAGATGAATTCTCAGTTTTGCCTTTGTTTTCATTGCAAAACAGTTAAGCTTGTTATGAGAAAGAAAGCAAAGACAATTGCAGGATTGATGTAATTCAGGAATAGGCGTTAAAGGTCTCTGGTCATATTCTAGTCTTCAGATTGAAATGATCAGTATTTTACTATACAGCACCCTAGCACCCTGCAAAAACAATGTCTACCACACTGTAAATACTCAGTGTTGGTCAATTTGCATTTTCAGCACAGTTTCCAAAGATAAAAGAGGGTATTTCAGAAACACTAGCAAGCTTGCAGCCACGTATATAATAACAAACTCTACATAAACAAATGCAAATCGGTTGTGAATTTGAATTGCAAAAAGAATTGTAAGCAGGACCAGAGAGATGGCTCAGTGGGTAAAGGTGCCTGCTGGCAAGCCTGGGAACCTGAATATGGTCCCAGGGCCCCTATGACAGAAGTAAAGAACAGACTCCCACAAGTCATCCTCTTACCTCTACAATCATGCTATGGCACTCACATGTGCACACACACCCACACATACACACACCACACCACTCACACACACACACACACACACACACACACATACACACACACATACCACACATACACATCATAAAATGTTTCAAAATTATAAACAAAATGAAAGGGTAATAACTGACTTCAGATCCTTACTGAACTGATAAAAATCCATGAATTGTTCTCTATCCTTTGGAGTCTCAGAGATAATTTGAAAGTCACAGCACCTTGAAAAGCAGAGACAGCACCTAAAAGTGACCAGAGTGAGGAATGACATGTTAACTGTAGGCCAAAGTGGTCCCAGCAAAGTAGACCTGTAAACATTTTTCCTTCTGATATAGTAATAATAAGAAATTCAGTTACTGGGGGTGGAATCCTCAGAGACCTCAGGGTGAGAAGAGGTAGGAAGACAGGATAGAAGGACTCAAACCACTCAGGAATAAAATGAACCAACTACACTAAAGGAGAAGAAGACTGTTGAAAATATTATTAACCATGCCACCAGAGTGGACAGTTATGTAAATAAGAAGAAAGAGCATCAGTCCAGAGGAGAGCACTGTGAACAAGAAGGAGCCTCTTTCGCCCTGTTCAGCCCCTGTAAGAAATATATCTTTCATTTCATCTGGTCTTTCAGCTGCTCGACTGATCCAGAACATGGATGCCACTGCTGAGCCTTGTAATGACTTCTTCAAATATGCCTGCGGAGGCTGGTTGAAGCGCAACGTCATTCCCGAGACCAGTTCCCGATACAGTAATTTTGACATATTAAGAGATGAACTAGAAGTCATTTTGAAAGGTTTGTGGAGACTGTCTGTGGATTAAAAATTTCTCTCTCTGTATATCCATTTAAAAAACATAGTTACTGGCTATTACAGGAAAGAGTAGAGCTGATAATTCCTCCAGGATTTGTGGTCCTTCACTGAGTCGCTCTTAGGGTGGTAGATACCAAAATGGATGTGCTAGCGTCTCTTAGCGTTACTGCTTTCCTTTGTAGATACATAATTGGTAAAGGCTTTCATTCCCAGGGATCTTCCCATTTTATAGAAAGAAAATATTAAATGATTGCTACTGAAAAGTATTTCCACTTTCTCTACCTCAGCCCCCATGTTAAAGTTGCTCTAAGACTTTACTGGGGTTTGCCTTCCTTGGGCAGCAGAGAATGTTCCGACTCATCTCTATCTCCACCTCCAGTTCCCTGAAGTTACTTTGTAGGAAAAAAGATAAAAGTTTTGCTATCTTTTAACATCTAAATAAGTAAAACAATTCATTTGGAACATACACAACACAGTCAAAGATAATTATTTTCTAGTCGTCAAAATATAATCCACGTTATACTCCAAATTCCTTTTTTATTTGCTTTTAATTTCAGCTTTAAGAAAAATAACTGTTAACTGCACATAGCAACACACACACACACACACACACACACACACACATACACACACATACTCACAAAGGTAATCGAGTTAAAAAGACATCTATCTAACTTAACTAAAGGGACAAACTCCAATTCTGTTATGGGAATGGCTGCTTGATAAGGAGTTTGATTTTTCTCACAGGGTTTTGGAATGGGGAGGGAGAAAAGCAATTTATTTTTAATTGAGTCTATGTTGGAAATGTTAGTAACAACTGAAAATCCTCAATCATGTTGATGCATTTTACTGAATATTCTATTTCAGATGTCCTTCAAGAACCTAAGACTGAAGACATAGTAGCAGTACAGAAGGCCAAAACCTTGTACAGGTCTTGCATAAATGAGTGTAAGTGTTCTCTACTTGGAACTAATATATTGGTCCCAGAACATGCATCACATATGCATAGTCTCACTTTTAACTTATTTTCATTGTTTCCCAAAGCTGCTATTGATAGTAGAGGTGGTCAACCTCTGCTCAAACTGTTACCAGATATATATGGGTGGCCAGTAGCTACAGAAAACTGGGAGCAAACATATGGTAAGGCAGTGTCCCTCTTTTCTAAGCAAATAATTTCCACATGAAATCTATTATAGTATTGCTAATGAACAAAGCTTCTAAAAGTATGCTTCACCTTTTATTTGTGTAGGTACATCTTGGACAGCTGAGAAATCTATAGCACAATTGAATTCTAAATACGGGAAAAAAGTCCTCATTAATTTTTTTGTTGGCACCGATGATAAGAATTCTACCCACCATATAATTCATGTAAGTTTGTGTGTGAGGCAGTCAAAGCTATCTGTAAGTTATGATGAAATTTCCATGTACATTATTGTCATTGATATTTCTGACTAATGTCAGTTTTCACTTTCATTGCACGAACTAGGGAGTAATAAATCCACACTCTGTCTCTCGGCCCTAGGGATCCACATTTCAAAGGATTTTTCTTCTGTTACCTCTATTTTAGATAGTTCCCCAGGGTCCTTTTATTGAGAAAAAATTTATTTCTTTATATATTTCATACTTTGGTTTACATAAAGTTATGCAGGCCTGGAAACCAAAACTTCCTCATTGCTTTAAAATAGAAAACCTAAAAGGGGAATTTGAACAGAGTTTTGGTTCTCACTAAAGAATATCTATACTTTTAAATAAAGATAAATACTTTTCAATTGAGATAAATAAAATGCCATTCTTTTAAGTGGCTTTATTAGATTGTTTTAAATGCAAGCATTTGTTTAGAAGGTGCCTATAACACTATTCATGAATGTGTGTGGAATGAACTAAGAATTGTATAGACTTAAGAGTTTTATTTGTTGAAACTATAGAGCCCAGAATCACATCATGATTACCTGCTCTTTATGATCATCATTTACGAAAATCACGGACACTGGAGTTAATCCTCTCTTTAAAAGATTCCTTTCCTCCCTTCCAAAACTCTCTCTTTGGTCTGTCAAATGCCAGCATCCTCCATGCTCACCTTGAGAGTCTGGCAGTTAGGGAGAGTGTAGCTCTTTCTGCAACACTCCTTTTGCTTACATTCCCTCCATATGGCCTGGGCTCCTCTGAAGGCTCCCACCTTTACCCATCAGTTTGCTCTTGAATCTGTTCTGCCATGCACTGCATAGAAAGCACTCTCACAGAGCTGTGAGTGTACCATGCTTGCTCTTAATATCAATATCTGAAGTGGAGCACGCCCACAAGAGCAGCAGTGAGTCTCCTCGTACACGGCTACTGTCTGTACCTGCTGGAAGCTTTCTGTATTCATAGGTCTGTAGAGTGTTGAGAGGGACTCGTCCATCTGTCTATGGAATGGTATAGAATCTGGCAAGATTTACACTAGCTAATAGGTTCAAGAGTGACTAGAGGTTTTCTACAC